TCAATTTGGAAGTCCTGTCAATTCGAATAAACCTGCTACCGATGAAGAAGTTCGTGCTACAGTCGAAATTCTGATTAAACGAGCTCTGGAGCATGGATTTCCAGCGGATAAAGTTGAAAAGCTGCGTGTCATTGTATATGCATATGATGTGTGGCGCTTGAAACTTCGTGATGACCCGCCTGCTCGAAGTGCGTTTGAAGGAAGGGGCCCAACCATCCAAATGCAAGCCCCGGAAGTATCCCCCACATTTCCGTGAATTTTTACGAGAATTTAACGCTGAGCTTGTGAAACTAGGACTTGTCTACAAGAATCCAACAAGTCGATGGGCTAGCCACGTACTGTCCGTCAAAACGTCAAGCGAGCTCATGGATTTGCGGCAGACGACTGACTATCGCGTAGTCAATGCTATGACGGACATCATGGCAGCGTTGATGCCAATTCTTTCAGTGGTAATGGAAAATGCACGTGGAAAAGAACACTTTGGTCGTTTTGATTTCCTCAAAGGATTCTGGCAGTTGCCTCTAGCCGAGATTTGCCAGGAGGGGTTGTCCTATATGACTGACGAGAAAATTTTCACGCCACGTCGAGTCCCACAAGGCTGTGGCGATGCAGCCATTTACTTCCAGAAAACCATGGAGCAGTGCTTTGCTAGTCTTCTCTACAAATACCTTCTCGTGTGGATTGACGACCTGCTACTCGACGCCGACGACATTGACGAGTATTTGGAGAAGCTTGCTGAGCTATTCTCGCTACTGAATGATTTTGGCCTGAATCTCAGTGCAAAGAAATCCAGCCTCTACCAGCGTGAAGTTAAGTGATGTGGTAGTATTATAAGCGCGGACAATGTCCGACATGATCCTTCTCGCATAGATTCTCTCCGATCCATGCCTTATCCTGTGACGGCTGGAGAGCTGCAGCCGTTTATGTGCGCTATCAATTGGATGCGTGGAAGTCTGGTAGACTACTCCCGTCAAGTTGCTCCACTCCAACGGAAAATCGACGCAGTTTTGGCCAAGACACGGCGTACTAAGCGAGAAGCAGCCGGAATTGCGATCGAGCTCTCCACAGAGGAGAAATTTGCTTTCGATACTGTGAAAGAAATGCTGGCCTCCGCAGTGACACTCAACTTTCCTGACGAAGCTTCCACTACGTGCCTGTTTACCGACGCTTCCGATGTTGGCTGGGCTCTCATTGTGACGCAAGTCAAGGATTTTGACATCAAAGTACCTGTGCAAGACCAGCGGCATCAGCTCATCGAGTGTATGAGTGGTACTTTCAGTGGAAGTCAACTCAACTGGACGGTGATCGAGAAAGAAGCCTTTCCCATCACTATGGCCTGCGATAAGCTCGGTTACCTGTTGTTACGCCCTCAAGGATTCAGAATGTTCTGAGACCATCAAAATCTGATTCACGTGTTTGCCCCAGATGTGAATGTCAAGAAACATGTCAAAGGGAAGCTATTGCGGTGGTCTATGAAGCTACAAAACTACCGATATGTTATCGAACACATCCCAGGTCCCGAGAACGTGTGGGCCGACATGATCAGCAGATGGGCAGGCAACCACCTGCCGTCCACTGCGACTGTCAAGCGGATTCACTCACGTTTTGCTGTGCTTACGGATGATGTGACGGTGCTGGCGGCAACGGAGCCGACCATCTCGACGCTCCGCCCGCTCGATGACGAGAGTTTTATCTGGCCCAGTTTCGAGGATATTGCTGCTGCGCAGTCGCTGTGTGATCCTCCATCGGAAGCTGAACAGAATGCTGACGGCTTTTTTACTCGCGACGGCCGGCTTTGGATACCGTCGAAGGCTGTCGACCAGATCCAGAGATTTTTAGTTATTGCGCTTGTGGTGCCCGTGGCCACCGTGGTCGATCTGCTATGATCGAACATCTTCGCCAAATTTTTTGGATCGATTCTCTCAGCTCTTTGGTTCCCACCTTCATTCGGCAGTGCTGGCTGTGCCTGCATTCGAACGGGGGAGGATTATTCCTAGGCCTTGGGGTGAAACGATCGAGTGTTCGGAGCGCAACCGTGTTCTTCATTTCGATTTTCTCTTCATGGGAAATAGTTTCGGTGACTCAAAGTACATTTTGGTTCTCAAGGATCATGCGTCACATTATTGTGAATTAGTTGTGGCAGACACAGTCGACAATAGTGTTACTGTGGAAGCGCTTCTTGCGTGGTACGCGCGTTTTGGCTTAGCATCTCTTTGGGTGAGCGACAACGGAACGTACTTCAAGAATGAAGTGGTAAAAGAGCTGTCTCGAAGATTGAGGGTGCAACATCAATTTACTCCTGCTTACTGTCCCTCGCGTTAATCGAGACATTCTGCAAGTGATTCGAACGATGATTCTCGAGTACAAGATCAACCATCAAGATTGGGTGTACCTGGTCCCCATGGTACAGTCAAGCCTCAATCATACTGCGGTACCTTCACTTGGGAACAGAGCTCCTGTGAAGATTTTCACTGGATTACCGTGTCCATCTCCTCTTCGTGAATCTTACATGCTCAGCAGTGGAGATTTGATGAAGGTTCCTGTTAGTGACAAAGTGGAAGATTATCTCGCTAAGTTGCGGAACAGTATTCACACCATGCACCAGGATTTAGAGGATCAGCGCTTGAAGCAGCAGTTGCTGAACAAAAAGCGAGAAAGAGGGGAAAATATTGTCAGCTTTACTGAAGGGGACTATGTGCTACGGTCCAGGGCTGATGAAAAAAGCGGAAGCAAGCTCCTGGTAACTTGGGTCGGACCTTACCGCATTGTGCGAGCAGATGCACACTCTTTCCTCGCTCAACATCTGATCACGGGTGAAGAGCTGGATGTCCAAGCATCCAGGCTCAAGTTCTACGCAGATTCCAGTTTTAACGTCACTGAAGAGCTTTTGGAGCACATTTCGTCTCAAGGTGTTATTCTCGCTGTGGATAAGCTCAAATGACATCGGTGGAATAGTAGCATTAATGACTTCGAAATTCTCGTGCAATGGAAGGGACTTGAGTCTATCGAGGACTCGTACGAGCCGCTCACCCACCTAGCTCGTGATGTTGCTACATTGATACAGCAATACGTTAGCATCGCTGACCAAGATTTGCAAGAACACTGGCAGCGAGTGACCCGTGGGGAATAGCAGCAGCCGGAAACTTCCGAGGCCTCAACAACTGGAAGGCTTGGACGATGCAATTGACGTCGCAAAACCAGCCGCAATAGACAACCTTCAACGCGCCAGGCCGCTCCTGGTATTTCGGTTGTCGAATCTCAAGAGTCTAACAGAGGTGGTTCAGCTGATGCAGTCCTTCAAACATTAGTGGACCGACCTGGGTTTGAAAACCAACAATCAAGTTCGTCTACGACTGATACTTCTTCTCAGCAAGCACGGGGTCGACAAAGAAGTCGAGTATCTTCAGGGCAGCGCTTATCCCCAGCGGATCCCGCCGGAGGAGATCATATCGGTCGACATTCTCGCTTGCGGACTGCTGGTGCCGACCAATCGGCAGCCAGAACCCAGCAGCATGCAGCACATTCCGCAGACACTGAAGGAGAGGAGCGTTTTCACTAGACTCATAGGAGGCCAAGCAGTGCCTACATGGTGCTTGATCTGACTGCTGACTGGGTGTTTAGTAGAGAAGGCGTACTTTAGTGGTGGAAACTTCGCTTTTAGCAACCACGCTTTTAAAAGAGAAGGCATTCACAAGATATTATCGTATGGGCATCTCAAACGTTTGAAAACTTACTTTCGATTGTGGCCCCTAACTGGTTACTGACTACTTCCAGTCTCTTCGACGAGCCCGAGGGGTGCCCCCACCGGCACCGGCTGCAATGTTGCAGTGCGCTTTGTCGTGGCTAGCTGGTGGCAGCTACCACCATATTCGCGTGATAACGGTGGTAAGTATTTCGATGTTTTATCAAGTAATTTATCGCGTAATGTTTGCCATAAACGTGTGGTGGATTGCTGAATCAAGCAAGCTTCCGCCATCTGTAGTGACCCCGGAGTGCACGTGGCGGGCCAGGTACATCTTGGTCAGTGACGTTTCCTCATGTCATTTATATAACAGGTTCTTTTAACTACATCCAGTTGTCCTTGTGAATTCACTGGAGGCCTTACATTTTTCATAACTGCATCTATGTGCTTGAGAAAGAAGGGCAGGATCAAGTTGTTCCTGACTCTCACTCTACATTTCACCAGCAACCGGAAAAGCAGTTTAATACACTAGGCTATCAGTTCCAGTCGGTTCGCCACCTGCCTTGCCGGTGTTTTCCCTGTTGCAACTCCAGAAACCAGTACAAAACGACGTTGATGCCCTATCCGATCGTATTTGCTCATTCACATGTCGTGACCCACGAGACCTCCCGGCGTTCAGATCACTGAGAGACGGCTTGACAGTGACAGTTGCTTTACTCGACCATTCTGGAGCGGTATTATTTTATTATAAATGTCTTGATCGAAAAGGACGATATACTATTGGATATTTCTTGAGACGCATGAGCCAATGGCAGACTAAAGATTTCATTCCTGACCGGAGCGTGAGGGGTAGGGCACGCATGCAGCACCGGTTGGGAACGGGCCTTAGAGCGTGTTCACTACATCAGTCTAGCTGGAGATTCTTCTTCACCGAAAATTCGAGGATTCCTTTTCAGGATTCGCCCACGTGCACGCTAGCGTGTCATCTTCTTCATCCTCTTCTTACTTCCTACTTGCCAGTCCTCATCATTGGCTCATCCACGTGAAAGTGAGGGAAGACTAGGATACGTAGCTCTCATAAAAAACCCTCGCCCCATGTACTCCTCTTCACCCAAGTAGCGATAGTGGTGACACGAAGTCCCAGGTCGAACGACACACCCTTGCTTGCTCCAAGCGTTTTGGCAACTGACATTCCTACCAACTAAGGATAGAATAAACAGAGACCAGTAAATTTACCAATGATACATATAAAATTTGCAGTTGGACCTCGTGCACGCGACCAACTATCATTCCTCACTCGACATCAATGCAACGTCGCTCATGACGCTGGTGCAAACAGACGCGGCTTTGGGCGCCAATGCACGGCGCCCTGGGTTACCGGACGGATGAGCTTCACGATCGGTCCATCAATGATACTCTCTTCGTCCGGAAGATACAAAATCAGCGTATTGTCCACGTCCAGTTTGGTCCACACTATCTGATCAGATGTGACGATGTGAACGAGATGCAACTTCTTGTCCTTGTCCCACTGCACCACACGAGCACGTTGCCACACTTCCTGTGCCTTGGCCAAATAGTCCACAATACCACCAACCATTTGTCTTCCCTTCGGAAACTCAGGCAGACCCAATCGCTCCTCCCGAGAAGACGGTATTACCGCCGGAAAAATAATCGGTCTCTGTGTGCTCATACTTTGAACCACCATCGCAGGCGGGGCATACGCGTTTGCAGTAATCTTGGCTTCCATGAACGTCTTGCGATCAATATCTCTTGGAGCAGTGGGAGCAGCAGAAAAGGATGCCGGTCCGAAGTGAAGTGTAGCAGTATCGCCTAGCAATTGCTGCTGGCAGTGTAGGTACGGCGTCGACTCGAGCACGAAAGCGTAGCGTTCGGCGTCAGTGTAGTGAGGTGTGTCAAGATCGTCAAAGTCCTCGTCGATCGAGTACTCACTCATAATTTCCTCCACCAAATCCTCATCACTGATCCAGCGCTTCGCTCCAGGTATACGCGAAGTAGGCAAGTGCTTGTCGCAGTACACACCGAGCAAGTTACCTTCGTTGCCAATCATCAGTCCAGCGTCGGCGGCGCACTGCGGATGGACGCCCACATTGCAGCCTTCTGCCTCACAGATGACTGAGGCACCGCCGCGTTTGCGGCAGATAGCACACAGATATCTGAATCTTCCGTTCTCGATCTCCTCGAAACCGTCCACCGGTTCCATACTGGGTACGTCTCTCATAATTAGCTCAGGAATGGCGAGCACACACAGCACGTGCACCCACTTCTGTTCGTCAGCCGAGGCCGACTCCGGCATGACCAGAGGCTTGAGCGATCCGCCATATTGCATGCAAACCGCACACATCAGCTGTCTACCCAGTAGACACGACGGACATCGCCACGGACCGTCGTCCTGCTCTCGCATGACTACACCAAAACATTCCTCGTGAATTCGTACTGAGCATGCGTCGTTGCCACAGTAGAGAACACGACCACAGGACCAGAGGCCCTCGCAAATGCTGCAATTTTCCTTTGGCACAAAGTGGGGCACGTAACAGTCGTCCACGTATTGACGTAACTGACGAAGTAGCTCGACGTCCGCGTGGTCCAGACGGAAGCCGCACTGCAACTGGATGGCATCTGAATTTTCACCACTAGGGATAGTCTGCTTCTCTTGCTGCTGCTGCGTCTCCCAAGGAAGCACGCGCTGCTCGTGAGGCAATAGCTCCCGCATCTCAAGCACTTTGACATAGTTGCGAATAAGAAGCAGCACGCCCGGAAGGTCGGGCGGTGCCAGATTGGAGATGTCCACGGCTAGTTGCCGCCGCTGGTCCCACGTAGGGTGCGTCGGGAACGCGCGGTTGATGTTCGAGGACGCGGCGTCGCTCTCATATAGATCGTCCGCCATGATTATTGCTGGCTCCGCGTTCTTGGACCTCGGTACATGTACCGGTATACCATAGGTATTTATTTATACACTGTGTGTCCGCACACCAAAATCAGTCTTGCCGTTCCACCGTTTTGTTCTTACAATCGAGCCAGCCATTGGGTTTTTGGGCTAGACGAGATGATAAAGCCTTGGTTTTGCTTGGGCAATTTAGCATGCAAGTTAGAACAAATCAGTTCTTAGAATATAACCTGAGGAGATATCGGCGGCGTCAAAGACCCACGGCGAGTCGGAGGGGGAGAGGGCGAGATCAGACTACCAGAGGGCACTTCGAGTGGCGCCAGATACAGCCGAGTCGGCCCGAGTGTTCAGGACGGAAAGTAGCCAAGCCAGACGACCCCACGACAAAGTGCACGTTCATTTTCAGCGTTGCACCGACAGTGAGTGAGACGCACCTGTAAGAACCGTCGCCCTGTTGTGTGCCCGCGCTGAGACTTGTCGCCTGCTTAATTGCGCCAGTTTCCGTTCTTCTAAGGGTAGTGAACGTTGTTCTGCTCCTTTTATCCGTGCTAGTAGCAGGAACTAAGACACCGGGAGATCGAGTCAGCATATACCATGAGCTCGCCCGACGAAGTTCCCTTGTCCGACAATGGCGCGCTGGCCAAGGAACTCAATGCACTGGTGGAGAGCACCAACTTCGACGACAAGATCTGCCTCGAGGACTTCACACTTATCCGCGTGATTGGTAAGGGCTCTTTCGGCAAGGTCACACTTGTCCGCAAGAAGAACAACAGCAAAGTCTTCGCCATGAAGATCCTTACCAAGTCCCACCTGCTCAAGCGCAAGCAGGTAGAGCACACGAAGACCGAGCGCCGCGTGCTCAGTGTGGCCAGTCACCCGTTCATCGTGGGCCTGCACTACGCCTTCCAGACTGAGGCCAAGCTCTACTTCGTGCTCGATTATTGTCCCGGTGGAGAGCTCTTCTTCCACCTCTCACGCATGGGCAAATTTGACGAGGAGATGGCACGCTTCTACGCCGCAGAACTGGTGGTTGCTCTTGAGCACCTGCACTCCCTGGGAGTTGTCTATCGCGACCTCAAGCCCGAAAATATCTTGCTGGACGAGATGGGCCACATCAAGCTGGCGGACTTTGGACTGGCCAAGGACGAGGTTACCGAGATCGATAGCGGGGCCACGTCACTGTGCGGTACGCCCGAGTACTTGGCGCCGGAGGTATTGGCGCGCAAGGGTCATGGCACGGCTGTGGACTGGTGGGGACTCGGTATGGTACTGTACGAGATGCTGACGGGTCTGCCTCCTTGGTACACACGCAACCGGCAAGAGCTGTTCGCTCGCATTCGTGAAGCCCCGTTGGAGATCCCGAACTACCTGAGTCGCGATGCGGCTTCACTCATTCAGTCGTTGTTGCACCGTGAACCCGAGAAACGTCTGGGCAGCCGCGGTGCTAGCGACGTGAAGGTACACCGATTCTTCCGCTCTGTGGACTGGGACGGCCTACTTTGGGCCGAACCGCCCTTCAAGCCGTCAGACCCGCAGTCCAAGGAGGAAGGAGACACATCTAACTTCGACAAGGAGTTCACAGAACTGCCCGTTAGCGGCACACCGCTGAGCAAATCGGCCGGTGGCTCGGGGTTGCCAAAGAGCATGTTCACAGGCTTTACATACGAGGCGCCGACGCTGTCGTATGGTTCCAACACATCCCAATCGAAGGTCGATGTGTCTTCCACCCCGTATATTTAGGTAGAGCAAGCCTCTTGCCCTCGCTGCTGCCAAGGGCGGGCACTGTGTATGTTGCTCTATCCCGATGCAGGGCGCTCTTTTGATCACATCTGTGCTGGAAGACAGGACCAAGCAGAAACGAGTGAAGCTGCAGGAAGTACATAGTATTATGGTGCGTTTTTGGGTTGAGCCCGACGTTAACGGACGCGTCTTCGAAGACAGACACAGCAGCGCTTGATGTCCCTTAAATAAATAGAGCGTTAGAAAATGCAAGTGACCCCAACCACCACATTGACACAACTCGACTAGCCAGTTGACCAAGTTATACTACCATTGGTTCGCAGGAAAATTTAGTGTTTACAGGTAGCATTAGATGGCTGAAACTGCTCCGGCCTTCGACGTTTGCGGTGTGCGCGTGGCCCATGACCCCGTCAAGGGCAAGGTGGTCTTCAGTGAGCGTACTTTCCGGCCTGGCCAGGTCATCTTCAGCGAGCTGGCGTTCGTAGCGGCCCCATGGAGCACTGATCTGTGCGGCGGATGCGAAGAACTCCGATCTTCCTCGGCAACTGCCTCAAGCAACCCATTGGTAAGCCCCCGTCACCGCTGTCATTGCGAACGCACTGGTGCACCCAAGATCATGTACTCTCCGAGACTGCATGACAACGTAGGTCGCCGCAACGTGGTTGTAGGCATCATGAAGACCATCGATGGAATCGAGGAAATTGACCGCGCACGTTGCATCCTCAAATGTCTGGCCATGTACGAGTGCGACCCTCATGCATTGGACGGAATGATGGACCTCACATGCGTCGGACAGCAGCGGGTTACGAACGCAACCTTGCAATTGCGTCGTCAACTACCGGATATCTTCCCCGCGGGCTTCACTGACCAGCAGATGGCTACACTTATCGGAGTGCTCAACACGAATTCGCACGAGCTGGAGAACCTCGGAGGCTCCGGGCTGTTCCTGTCAGCATGTCGCATGGAGCACAACTGCAAGCCCAACTGCAGCTTCACGACTTTTGATTCCACTCTTTGGATGACTGCCATCCGCCCTATTGCACCAGGAGACGCTCTATCAATCGATTATGGTAACTTCTTCTACCGCCCGACGCCCGAGCGCCAGGAATGTCTACTGGAGTCGTATGGGTTCATATGTACGTGCGAAGCCTGCGTCTCGTTACCGGACCCTACACGTGCTGTTCGCTGTCTATCAAGAAACTGCCCACAGGGTGTCATGCTGCCGTGTCCTGCGCGCACCAACACTGCCAGCAGTAGCATTCAACCAAAAAAAATGCAGTTTGAGTGGCGATGCCAGACTTGCGGTACGACCGCAGATACTGCAGAGCACTCGCGGATCTTTGCGGCGGAGCAGGAACTTTTGGAGAACGGATTTCCAGAGAGTCTCGAAGAGGTTGACGCTGTGGTGAGTCGTGGTGTGCTACACGAGAGTCATTATTTGCTGTTCTGGGCATTGGACAACATTGGCTGCGAGGCTGCTATTACCACTGCCTTCCGGGCCGATGCGCAGATGGCTCAGGACCGTCGCGTGTTGGCCCAAATCTGGGAGCGCATTATTACCTACATGAACGTGGTCGTTCCGACGGCTCACCACGAGAAGACCATCTACTACGACAATCTAGCGCAGGTTCAAGTGGTGCTGGGAAATCTTGGTGCCGCCAGTCAAGCATATGCGCGCGCGTACGAGGTATCGTGCCTGGTTAGTGGCACAGATTGCTCCCCGACGCGCAAGCTGCAGCGCTTGATGGAGAAGCCTCCGCAGACGGCTGAGGACTTGCGCCAGCATTACGCAGCGGAGGCGCAACACCGCCGGCGCCCTGCCAGTGAGGCGGACGACGAAGATATGGAGGAGTGATCCAAAAGGCTTGGATAGTTCTAGTAGTCGGTAGGAGCTGTTTGTCCATGTTAATTGCAGCGCGGTGCAACAAAGCTATTCATGTTTTGGTTGATACATGTACGTCAGATCTCCAATAATGCATGGCAATTTGCTAAACACGATGGCATCAGCAAAACGATCGAAGACTCAAGGCCCTTTGATACCTGACGGTGCACCCGGAACTCACGGGCCGTGTGGCTCGACGCCGCCGGGGTAGATCTCATCGCACTGGATGAGCATTCACGGCGGCGGGTGCCAGCTGTAAGAATACACTTTAACGAGAAAACGTTAAGAACGCATGCACAGACCTGAAAAACACATGAAACCATCCCCAAACGTCGTGGACGGGATCGCTGGTAGGCCGCCTATGTCTGCCTCGCGACGCACTCCTAGCGAGAGAGACAGGCCCCCAGTTCGACTGGACGCAAATGTCTTCCGAATGTAATGGGCTACCCCTGCTCACACTAGATCGGAAGCCGGCAGCCGCGTGGAAGCCTTCGGTGACCACCAGCGCCAGCCGCATGGTACGCCTCCAGCGCAGCGAGCTACCACACGAGACTCTCCGAGCCGGCGACTTCATCCAGTACTATTCGCGGGCGTTGGAGAGAGAAGCAGCGGAGACCCACGCCCCAGCAAACTCTGCTGGAAGAGCCCCCGAAGCTGCTCCAGACGTATGTGTCTCCAGCACCACAGAATCAAGTTTTCAGCCACCCGCCAAAGGTGCAGGCGAGCGCACAGACGCTAGTGAAGGACCTGCGAGCGAGGAAGAGGTGTCAAGACAACTTCCGATGGAGATACCGCTTGAGTTAGCGGTTCCTAATTCTGATTCTGGGTCTGTGGAATTGGTGATGAACGCCACTTCGACGCCCAGCACTACGACTGTGAGTGAAGAGCGCAGCGTTAACACACTACCCGTTCCCTCACATTCATGCGCAAGTGCGAAGAGCGAGGATTCTTCTCCAGATAACGCGCAGCCTTCGGAGAGCACGGAAGAGATGCTGGACCCCAAGCAGTACCTGGCCGCTATACTGACTCGTTTGGAAGGAAACAAAATTCGCCACCAAGCAAAAAAACGGTCGAACTAGTGGCATGTTCCCCGTTCGCGGAAGAAGAAACATATGGCCCGTAGTGCGATCACCAGGTCTGGAGCCAACGTGTACCCTTCTCGCAACGTTACAGCCAAGAAGATGAAGGACTTCTTGAGGCTTCCGTTCGTTCGCGAGCGTTTGAAAGCCTCGCACGTACTACAGCCGACCTACACGACGCAGAAGGATACGGCTGAGGTGTTGCTGGCGCCTGCGGTGACAGTTAAGTAAACGAGATTAATGAGTGCCGAATTCCTAGGGGACTGTAGTTCCCTGACGTCGGAGACTTCGATCTTTGCAGCTGCATTGGCGACTGTTTCTTCGACACCTGCGAGAACGCACAGTCCTCCATCTACTGCACTCCGAAGTGTTGTCGGCTAGATGCCTTGTGCAGTAATGCGCCAAGAAACCGAGCGACGCTGAATCTTTTTGAAACCGCTCGTGTTGGCTCAGGAGTGTATACTACTGCCTTTTTAAACGTCGGGGACATCTTCGGCGAGTATGTGGGTCAGCTAAGTGCGCACGAGGCGCAGATTGAGGGTCAGCCAGAGGTGGCGAAGAAGCATAACAGTGGCTACACGATGCTTTACTACACGAAGTCGACAACCAGAAGTACGTGTACATCGAGGCTGGCAAGTGTGGTTCCTTAATGCGATTCCTCTCACACTCCTGCGTACCAAACGCGGATTTCATTGAAATGTGCAACGGACGCAACGTTAAGATCCTTGTCGTAATGAAGAAGGCTGTGAAGGCAGGCACTGAGATAACTGTGAACTACGGTGATGGAGTGTGATTTAAGTGTGCTTGCGACGAGTGCTGGCATAAACAGTACTAGGAGTGTAGGTTCTCGTAATCGACGTTTGATCTTTGCATCAACTTCGAACTATTTTTCGCTGCTCCAGCACTTCCGATATGAGCTTCCACAACACAGACACCTAACAGGTTTCTTACTGCTACTTGAGAGGACACTGTGCAAGCGCACAAATTCGAATACGATACGTTTCTCGCTCTCAGCACTGGCATCACCTCTTGTATAATGTCTATGAGTGTCAACTGCGAATACGCATGTAATAACTCTGATTCTGGAGTCAAAACATTGTTTCAGCTTATATCCTCGTTTGTATTGTGCTTAGGGGGCCTTTCGCGACGTGTGGCACCTTACCCCTCCACCTACATGTAGGTGGAGCATGTGCTGGAGGAAAAAAAAGTGTTATGAAGTAAATGCTCGCTCTAACTGTTGCTGAAGACGTATTAAGAGAGCACTACACCCGATTCCGAGTATCTACCAAGCCGTACGCATGCGCTGGAGCTGAAATGTTACTCTAAAGACAGCGCAGGCCCAATTAGACGAGGTCTTCCTCCCAGTGTATCGCTATTGTGCTTGCCAGTAGTTCATCGACTCACAAGCACTCGCCGTCCAGCTCCATCAAGACGATCCGATGCCGGAAGAGCAAAGAGGACATGAACACAGGTTCCAAACTTGTAGCAGTAGCTACATGGACACCATCTCGCGCGTAGTTGAACAGTCCAGCCGTGAGGAGGTTCGTCCTGCACCTCCATACGCGCGTAGTTGGCGGCCATTTGGGCCGAAGCTGCTACAGTGCACGCGGAAAATATAGACGAAAAATCGTTTTTCACCATTTTTTCTTCCAATCTCAAGCTCTTTCCAAATGAATTTTAGCCAATACAAAGCTCATTAAAACGATTTGTTTGCGGTGCTTCTTGCCTCTACCCGACAACTGACACTCGAGATACAGCCCATTAACTGACTTCGACTTAGTGTGCAAAGCGCGAAAATGATAGACGAAGTACTAAGTGATGCCTAGATGAGCGCTATTCAAGCAATGGTAATGGTTAAAATGGTTGATGTAGGTGTACTAGTACTTGGTCTTGAGCCCTTCGAGGCGGTAGACCTCCATGCAACGTTTTTTCATCGATTGAACCAGGTTTTCCAGAGTCGACACCGGAATGGCAGCCCACGCTTTCTTGATGGCCTTTACAAGCTCCATCTTAGTGTCATACTGCTTTCCGTTCACGTATACTGCTCTAGCAAGGATACCCCACAGGTTTTCAATAGGATTTAGGTCTGGTGACTTCGCAGGCCACCACATCACACGCACATCCAGGTTTTCCAAATACCATTTAGCTACTCTGGCCGTATGAATCGACGCATTATCGTGCTGAAATTCAAAATCCAAGCCGTGATAAAGGTGCGCAAACGGGAATAGGTAGTCACTCAATGTGTCAATGTACTTCTCTGCGTTCTGCTTGCCCTCCAGGAACGCCAACTCGGACTTACCTTTGACACTAAAGGCGCCCCAAACGAACACGCTGCCTCCACCGGACTGACGGTTCGAATAAATTTGCTTCTCTTTTCTTAGATCTCTCCAATAGTACTGGTATCCATCGGGTCCGTCTAAATTAAACTTTTTCTCATCTGAGAACACCACAGAGTTCCAGTTGCGGCCATGCTCCACATGCTGTTCGGCCCACTTCAGTCTTTTCGTAGTGTGCTCGGGTTTGAGCACTGGACATGCAATCCGCTTCTCATGCACCATATTCTCTGAGTCGTGCAGCACTTCCTGTACCCTGCGAACAGAGATAGGTAGCTGTAACGAATCGTTTAGAGCTCTAGCGCTTACACCAGTCTTAGATGCCTCACGAAGCAGTCGACGCTCGGCCGTAGGCGTCAGCTTCTTCGGCCTGCCAGGACTTTTTTTCGTGCCGTACGTCTCTGGGTTGCTTAAAAAGCTGTGCACAACCTTCCACGAGCGACCGATGCGCTTCGCAATAGCATTTTCCTTTTGGTGTTCCTCCTTCAGCGCCAAAATTTGCCCTTTCTCGAAGTCTGTCAGTGGTTTGCCTCGCCCCATCTAAATAAACAAACGTTTTGGCAAATAAAAACGTGTAGAGGTTTGTCAATGCCCTCTCTCTGGCGTGCATTGAGCTGCACTCCCCCAGACCCCTTCAAAGAGATATAAATGTCTTTCTTACCCACTTCGTCTATGTTTTCCGCGCCGCACCTACGTAGCCAAAGGCAATCTTTTGAGAGAATCTCGAGTGTCAGTTGTCGGATAGAGGCAAGAAGCACCGCAAACGAATCGTTTTAACGAGCTTTTTATTGGCTAAAATTTATTTGGAAAGAGCTTGAGATTGGAAGTAAAAATTGTGGAAAACGATTTTTCGTCTATATTTTCCGCGTGCACTGTATCTGCTCTTCCGTCGACCGCTTTGCCCCCTCCACTACGATACGCTTTGCAGGATGGACTACCACATGCATCACCCCAGCGTCTCCAAACATCCCGTCAGCAGCCGTATTGCGAGCTAGCAGCTTCTTCCAAACGAGTACCACCACGCGACGAGTGTAGGCTGGTGCTGCTTCTGGCGTGGTGCGGAATACCCGCTGCTTGCGCGACTCGTTCATGCAACAGTCGTGTAACTCCTTAAGCAGAGTTCCCATTTTAAGGCGACGTCGCAGTGTGTAGTCACGCTTCAACACTCTGTTGAGCTGCTCAACAGGGAGGTTTGTGGTAGCAAACGCACAAGGCGTTCGAAAGCACTGCTACATAGTAAAGCTCCTCGCAGCCATTGTTCGTCAAGGTACCTGCAGAAGTCTACCAGGTAAGGGTACAATCACCAGGTCTGCAAATACTTCTCCAGCATCCAGGAAAATGATATTTCGTCACGGGCAAAGTGCAAGTCGTACAGACCACGAATTAGTGCTGCTGCTACATGTGAGGGAAATCCCTTCAGCCTCTTTCCACGTTAGTCATGACGTGAAAAAAAAACATGAGATACTGGAGATGTGGACCTTCGCGAAATACCATGAAAATGGCATTCCGCTGCGTCTCCCATTACATATCGAGGAGCCAGCTTCTAGTTGTAATCTAGTAG